GGGCTCCAAAGGGTTCTGGCAGCTCCACTGCTCTGACTCTGCAGTCCACAGCACACTCAGCTCGTCTCACAGACCCAGGCCAGCTCCATTCCACACCTACTGCGGTCCTTGGTGGTCGTCCCATGGTCCTGGCATCTCCAAAAAGCTGGGGTCTCCACCGAAACTGAGACTACACCTTCACCCACCAATGGCCTCTTCTTGCCTCTTGGGGTGCAAAGCCTCAGATTCTCTCCATGACCCCATTCAATCCTGGCGTCTTCACTGCAACTGAAGCTGTACTTTCACCTATGGCCTTTCCTGGCCTCTCAGAGTACCAAGCCTCAGCTGCTCTCTGTGACCCCTTTACACTTTTAACACCAGAACCATGTAGGAGACTCTTACGCATTACCAAGTCCTGCTTCTAGCTTGAGATGGAGGCTCGGGTCCCCTCTGTGTGCTGACCCTGAGGAAATACCTATCAGAAGATAGGTATTACCACAGTAGTGCTGGCATCTTGTTACTTGTAGCTGATTTTTCAGCCCCAGCTAACCAGCATCAATTGTTCCAGTAAAGCAAAGGTTTTGCTTCAGGTTCTGGTCTCTTAATCACAGCTGATTCTTCAGCCCCAGCTGACTAGAACCCACAGAGTCTTAATTCAAAATATCACAGGAACAGCCCTGATAGTCTCTGTTTTTCTTTAAAGCTTCATAAGCCAGGCCTCCATCGTCTGCAACTCTTTCAGCATAACTATTCCAAGCTCCACAGCAACAAACTCTGAGCATGCAATAGCTTTTCCAGCCCAAAGTTCCAAACACTTCCACAGTCCTCCCAAAAACACAAAGATCAAGTCTGTCACAGCAATATCCCACTCTCTCTGGTACCAATTTCTGTCCTAGTTTGTTCTTCATTGCTGTGACAAAATACTCTGACTTGGGGAGGAAAGGGTTTATTTAGCTTACATATCCCGGGTCACAGTTCATCCGGGAGCCCAAGGTAGGAACTCAGGACAGGAACGTGGAGGCAGGAGCTGGAGCACAGGCCATGGAGGAACACTGCTTACTGGCTTGTTCCCCTGGCCCCTGCTCAGCCTGCTTTCTTATGCAACACAGGCCTACCTGCCCAGGGGTGACACCACCCACAGTGGGCTGGGCCCTCCCATATCACTCATCAAGAAGATGCCCTTCAGACATGGCCACAGGCCAGTCCAATAGAGGCAATTCCCTGATTGAGGCTCCCTCAACCCAGGTGTGTCAAGTTGACACTAAAGCTATCCAGCACACAAGTTAAGTCCTAGCCAGTCAAGCATTTGTACCCATATGTCCTGTGCAAATTCATGCACTGGAGTCTAGTCAGCCTATCTAGAGATCGTTGGTAAAGCCTACTTTCCCTCACCCAGTAGTAATTAGTCTCTAAAAGCTCCTAGATAATCAAATTACTTTATATTACTTATCAGTCCCCACAAAACCAACTGAAAGAAAACAAAGCACAAATACTAAATAAATAATAGAACTACTTATTGGAAGAGCTCAGTTTGACTGAAGTTATCTAAAAGGGATTACTCTGGGGTTGAGGGTGTAGCTCAGTGGTAGAATGTATGCTTAGTATCCAGAAAGCATCCTAGTATCAAAAAATAGGGCTGGAGAGATAGCTCAGTGGTTAAGAGTACTGGCTGCCCCTGCAGAGGACTTGGGTTTGATTCTCAGCACCCACATGGCAGCTAACAACTGTCCATAACTCCAGTTCCAGGGGAACCCAACACCATCTTCTGACTTCTGTGGGCATTGCATGACATGGGTGCACTTACACACATGCAGGCAATACACTCATACAATAAAATTAAAATAAGAAATAAAATATTTTAATAAAAAATAAATAAAACAATAAAATAGGTTCACTTTAATTTGGAGATATGGTATTAGAAGGAGCTTTGTAACCTATATAGTAGTATGGAGACCCTAAAAGAGTATTAGACTCTAGTTATTTTTAAATTATGCACTACTTAAACTTTTTAAATGTAGCATAATTGACGAAAAGAAATTCAGACCTATTTTCAAAGGCACTCATGACCAATATTAAATAATTCTATTAATTCTTTCAGCCAATATTTTGTAATGTCCTTTAGTTTGAGGGGTGTTGCCTATCTTATAATTCCAGTATGAAGCATTTCCTTGGTGCTTTAACTTGCCAAATAGCATCTTCTCCCCAGCTCCATGGAAACCTAAAACTTCAACCATCCAAAAGTATCTGTGAAAACCAGTTATCCAACAGCCATTGAGGACATAAGAGGATTAGAACACCCCAAAAGTTTTATCCCAAAAGAACAATCATTACCTCACTCTTTCTGGCTGTTCTCTAATCATACCAATCAAAAGGAAGGGACTGGCAGAAAGGAGCAATCCATGATGCATGCCTACAGAGATATACATTAGTTTCAAATATACACATGTTGAGAAACAAAGGAAGGGAAACTATATAATTAGCA